CTCAACAAACTTTATTTTGAAAGCTCAGCTCCGTGTTGGAGGGCCGGGCGGCCTCCAGCCAGGGTGTGTGGGGGAATTTGGGTGAAACTCACTCGCCCGTGGGGGTAGGGAAGAGAGCAACTTTCTTAGAAATCTCACCTTGGCCACCCCCTTGAATACTTTGTCCAGGGCCCCCAGCAACCCTGAGGCCCGAGGCCGCCTCCCTCAGACAGGTAGCGGGTGCTGGGTGCGTCCTGTCTGAGGTTCTGGGTAGGACCTCATTTGAGCAACCCCATCTCTTCCCCCATTTTCTCTTTTCCCAGAAGCAGGAAGAAGTGACACGTGAAAGTTGTCCCTGAGCCCCGAGTGATGCGCTTCCCCTTTCTGTCTTTTTCAGGCAGCGCTGCCTTCTCCAGCGTCCAGACCCTGGAGGAAAAATACCGGGAGAAACTGCTCACTCAGCTCTGACCCCACCACACCCCCACTTGCTCACCTAATGCCTGGGTCCAGGGTGGGTAAGGGTGAAGAACCCACCGGGCCAAGATGATCCTTTTTCTGGGGACTGCTGCTGGTGTCCTCCCCCAGATCCCGGGCCCCAGCAGGTGGGAGAGTGGCCCCCTACGGAGCCCGATCAGACTGCTGCAAAGGAGGTGAAGAGGGGTTGAGAAGAGGCATCCATCTGGGAGACTGAAGCCACTTGCCTTCATCCTTATAAACTCTTGACTGTTCTAGGCGAGAAGGACCTGTTGGTGGCCTTTGCAGGTGGCAGGAAACTGGACTGTGGTTCTGCCCCTGCACCTATGCCCCCATCTCTGGCAGCATCATGAGTCAGTTTCAGGTGCCCCTGGCCGTCCAGCCGGACCTGCCAGGCCTTTATGACTTCCCTCAGGGCCAGGTGATGGTAGGGGGCTTCCCGGGGCCTGGGCTCCCCATGGCTGGGAGTGAGTCCCAACTCCGAGGGGGTGGAGATGGGCGGAAGAAACGGAAACGGTGTGGTACTTGTGAGCCCTGCCGGCGGCTGGAAAACTGTGGGGCTTGCACTAGCTGTACCAACCGCCGCACGCACCAGATCTGCAAACTTCGAAAGTGTGAGGTGCTGAAGAAAAAAGTGGGGCTTCTCAAGGAGGTAAGCCAGCCCTTGCTAGGCTACCCTGTCCCTTCCTCGAGGGCACGGTCATCCTGAGGGTCTTGCTTTCAAGCAAGGCTTGTCCAGTTGAGCGCATTCTCCCATTTCTGATCCTCTTGGTCCAACTTTGAGTAGGAGTGTAACAGACATGTTTGGGCTCCTTTGCAGCGCTGACAGTTTGTATGAGAGTCACGGGGAAGAAGGGAGCTCCGAGCTGGCACCCTCATCTCTGATGTTTGCATTTGATATGAGATGGTGATGTCTACCTTTATCTCTAGAAGTTTCTGGTCCTGCTGCTTGAAGCCTCATATGTATTTCAAGGTCATGCTAATGCTTGAATGACTTGGGTAGTGATGGTGTAAGATAAGGGATGGAGGCTGATGGATTCGGAGAGAAAGTTTTGGGTTGACAGGGTGGTTTTATGCTGCCCTGATGGAGTGGGATGCTTCTTTCATCGTTTTTCTCAGATGGCCAGAGAGCCAGTTGAAACTGTTTGGGAATCTAATGAGAAACTGATGGTTTGGGTTCCCCTATTTTAGTACTTCTTGCAGTCAAAAACTTTATCTCTGTGTTCTCAGGACCTGGCACAGTTCCTTGGCAGGTAGTAGGGACTCAGATACTAATTGCATGAATGGATAACATGCTTTTGAGACACTGTCAACCCCAGGGAGGTGTACTCCCTTTATTTGGGGGTAGCAGGGTAGAGGAGGAAAGGAGGATTTGGGATGAGAGCAGGCAGGGCGGGAAGAAAAGGAGAGACAGTGACCTTACATTGGTCATCTTTCCCTTCCATCATAGTGGCGGTCTGCCGGCTTGGGTTTGGTGACAGCCGCGACAGCAGAGAGTTGGCAGAAGTAGGGCAGAGTGAAGTTGAGCAGCTTAAGAGGAGCAGTGAAGCCGCTGAGGTCGCTCCAGGCAGGGCAACTGGCGCTGGACAGAGACAGAGGCCTGCGCTGTCTTGGAGCTCCCCCTTGCTCTACCACTCATTTGTCCAAGGGCCCAGACAACTCAGTCCCCCTCTCTGGGTCTGTCTTTTCCTACTTTACCCTTCCGGCTGGGCTGGAAGCTGCTTGCTTCTGAGGACTAGGGGCCCTGTGGCTGTGATAGGCTGGCAGTGGGCTGGCAGCTCTTGCTCAGGGTTTCCCTGACTGCTCAGTGCAGAGCTGCATGGCGAGCTGGTGGGGCTGTGGTCCCGTGGCCGGGAAGAAAGATTTAAGTGTAGGGGATGGGGAGGTGGGGTTGCTGGATATTTCTGCCCTTTCTCACCTTGTCTTGTCTGCACCCTGTGGAAGCTGTATGTCCTGACCCAGGGACTGCAGACTCGGGGCCCTGTTTCCCCTGTCTCTGGTTAAAGCAGACATCTGGATCACATATGCAGCCACCAGCCCCAGCCTGGGAGACCTCTCTGTTGCTGGTGTTGTGGGGAGTTAGCATCCTGCTGGCCCAGTGCTCCGTGGGTCACTACTGAAAGCAGGATGCTATGAAGCTGGGGAGGCTTTACTTCTGGACATAAGAGCTGGTGCTTTGGTGTAAGGAGGAGCTGCTGAGTCTACTTTGTAAAGCTTGATTCCTTTGCGCCCTTCTAGCATTCCTTTTCTTCCCCAGCCCCCATTGTCTCACTCAGTTCCTCCCATACTCAAACTGGAGGAGTGAGGATGCTGAGCTTCCTGGGCTAGATGTTCTTGGAAGCAGTGGCTCTTGTGAACCGAGTTGAAGTGCTGCTTTTGGCAACAACAGAACATACCTGAGTAAAAGGGGCTGGGAGTGAGGCCAGGGCGTTGTCATCCTGTGGGTAAGCTGTCAGCCCAGGCTGCCGGGTGGTCTTAGTTAAGATATCATGGATCTGGGGTGGCTCAGGCTTAGAGACAACCCTGCTGAGAGGTGTCTGCTTCCCTGTGGACCTTGCCATGGCCAACTGCCCCTCTAAGCCCCAGGGTCAGGTAAGGTGAGGCTGGATGGTCTTGGGTGTCCAAGGACAAAGGGTCTACATGCTGATCTGTGGATCAGTGCTGGCCCACAGTGGAGTTTTCTGTTTCTAGAGAAACAAAAGGGGACAGTGGAATAAGTTTTTTCATAAAGCTAGCTCTCTGTGAATTAAAGAGCCTTCTACCTTTTTCTAAGGATAGGTCCTTTCTACTTCTTGATGTTTAAAATATGCTTTCTTAAAATGTGCTTTGTGAAGTGAAGGTGTGAGGAAAAAATAGACTTTTTTTTTTTAAGTCTTTGCTTGGTAAAATACAAAATGGTAACCAGTACCTGTGTGACTTTTTTTTTTTGGGGGGGGGCGGTCTGTGAAGGCTGAACGCCAGGGAGTCACTGTCCAGGCTATGCTGCATTTAGTGGGCATATCTCTGGCATAATTGAAAAGCTGAGACATGCCTGAGAGACTGCCTGAGTGGATGAGACCCCAGGACCAGCCTAGCATTTAACAGATGCTGGGGACTGCTGGGACCATAACCATTAGATCTTAGCAGCTGTGTGGCAGAGGGAACATGTCACCGGTTATTTTGGCGGTGACTGTTCAGGTGGGGCGGGACGTAGCATCCTAGGAGCCTCTCGGACATCAGACCATCTACCTGCGCCCTGCTGCGTGGCATTTCCTCCTCTGTGAGAGTGCTGTGCTCCCCTGGCGACTCCTCTGTACTTCCCTTCTGTCTCCATCTCTCCTAGCTGTCTTTGGGGCTTCCTTTGAACTGTCTGCCTACAGCTGCTTTATATCATCCTGTAAGGAGATTATCTTGGGTTTTCCATCTTCTTTCCCTGCTCCTCACTCTTTTTCTCAGTGGGCTTTGGGGGTGAGGAGGAAGGGTGCAGGGGAATCCCTCAGAAAAGAAGTTCAGCATTTTAGGACTTTAGCCAGGTCTCTGCCAGATTTGAGACAAGGTACCTTGGAATTTGGAATCTTTTAACAGTATCAGAACACCTGATGAATCCTTGCCTATCATGCTGGTAGCTCTATCTTGCTGAGGTTGGAGGCTGTGGAGAGAAATGCTTTCAGGCTGGTCCCAGCATCAAAGGGAGAATTGACTGGAGAAGTAGAAGTGATGAAAATCTTTAGGATGGGCCTTCCTGATCTGGGGGGAGGTGACTACTTCTCTGGGTCCTAATGTGAGGCTGGGGTGGGTTGGTAGTCGCTGTGATCTTCCTTCCTAGTTCCAAGAATAATTTAGAGGAGGCTGTTTGATTTCATATTCTTTCTATCTAAGTGGTGGCTTGGTAGCACGATGAAGATGACTGATTAGAAAAGTCGGGTTTGCTGAGTATGGAAGCACAGAAGGTAGGGCCCAGAACCCAGAGTAAGTGCCGTGCCCTTACTGTCTTGGGCGACCAGTGCTCCATCCCTTCTGTGTCTGTTTTCTCAGTTGTAGGATGGGAGCAACCCTTCTTTGTAGGGCTGTCATGAGGATTAAATGGGATAAAATGTGTATAATATCTGGCACATACAGTAGTAGGTAATCAATGCTTGATGGCAAAACATTCCTAAACATCTAGAAAGGGATGAATCTTTATGCATAAACAACTGTGAATTTGTCTTTGAGCTGTAAAGATGCAATGCACAGGCTGGGTATGGTGGCTCACTTTTGTAATCCCAGAGTTTTGGGAGGCTGAGGCAGGAGGATTACTTGAGACCAGCCTGTACAACATAGCAAGACCACGTTGCTACAAAAAATAAAAAAAGAAAAATTAGCCAGGCATGGTGGCAGGTGCCTGTAGTCCTAGCTCCTGGAAAGACTGAGGTGGGAGAATCGCCTGAGTCTGGGAATTTGAGGCTGCAGTGGGCCATTGTCGGGCCACTGGACTTCAGCTTGCATACAACTCCAGACGAAATGCAAATTACGTATTTATCTCAAAGCATTCCCCCAACTTGTTCATAGAAGAACCGTGAGGCAGAACCATAGAGCCAGGCAGAGGGAGGGAGGGAGGAGTTTGGTAGCCTCCATGTGGAGGAGGAGGCTAGACACCAAGGAGTCGCTATGGTCCTGGGCTTGACTGAAAAGTTGCCCATGGGTCAGGGAAGTGAATAACTGTTAGAATAATAACCCCTTACCAAAAAAAAAAAAGGAAGAGAAAAGAAAAAAGCGCAGTAAAATGTGTGCATGAGTTTGGAAGCATGACTGAGAACATTATGGGTGAAAATTAGAGAAATGGAAAGATACATGTTATGAGAATACTTTCTAGCCCTCAGCCCAAGTGGACTTAGATCTTGAAACAGATCTCTGCCAGATTTGAGACAAGATACCTTGGAATTTGGAATCTTTCAACAATATCAGAACACCTGATGAATCCTTGCCCATCTTACTGATAGTTCTGTCTTCCTGAAGATGGAGGCTATGGAGAGGAATGCTTTCAGGCTGGTCCCAGCATCAAAGGGAGGATTGACTGGAGAAGTAGAAGTGACAAGAATCTTTAGAGAAAGGGACCTCAATCTGAGCATTTGTCAAGCCTGAGAGAAGGCTGGGCAGGCAGGAGTGTTTACCATAGTCTTTAGAATATTGTTTTTCAAATGCAAGCAGTTTTTAACCCCATGGCCACAGATTCTAAAAGAAAATTAGCTGGAGGGATAGGCTTGCTTGTTAAAAAGGAAACACTGATAGAACAGTCATGAATGGTAGCTTCAGGAGGAAGGTGTTGGTGGGACTAGGGAAGGACTGAACCATCTGTGTGGCTGTATGGGCTGTTTTCTAGTGAGGGAGGGGGTAAAAGGACAAGCACATTATGTGGAAGATGGGGACATGGCACTGAAGCAGAGTTTACAGTACGGCATGAGCTCCTAAGAGGAGCATCAGGGGGTCCAGTGGCCAGAATGTGCTAAGGCTGGTGGAAAATGCCCATGATAATGTCTTGTATATAGTTCCAGCAAGAAGGAGAAGGAAGAATTAGGCTTACAACTTTCTAGGGATGGAGAGTGTGGACAGATACTGGGTCCCTGTGGTGTCAGAAGATATAACCTGGGGAAAAGAGAGCCAGCCAGCTCCCCTACCCAAGTCTGAGTCATTCGC